TCTCAGATGATTGTCCCAGCATAGGGCAAGCGTTAGCAAAATGATTTGAATTAACACAGATGGAACAAACTTCCTTTGGCAAGGTAGTTTTTGGATTAGCAACAGGAGCAAAGCTAGATGATAGGATTTGATCAAACCTACAGTTCAAAGCTTCTATTTGAGCGGCTAACTCATTAGATTTATCTACCTCATAAAGTTTTTCAACCTTGTCTATTTGAGTGGCTAACACCTAGACCTAGAGGAAGAAGCATGTTGCACTGAGTTTTCACTTAGGGCCTCAAACAGTTCCCAAGCATCAGCCGGACTCTTACGTAGAAAAGCTCCATTACTGGAAACATCTACCATGTTTCTATATGAATCAGTAAGACAATCATAGAATATCTATATTAAGTGCCATTGAGCAATATCATAGTGCGGAAACTTTCTCAAAAGATCATTATATCTCTCCCATGCATCATGAAGCTATTCTCCCGAGATTTGGGAGAATGCCATGATTTCTCTCCTCATTTGTGTGGTTTTACCCACAGTGTAGTATTTTTTCAAGAACTCCTGTTGCAACATATCCCATGTAGATATGGAATTTGTTGGAAGGGATTGCAACCAAGTTCTTGCTTTATCTTTAAGAGAAAACTGGAAAAGACGCATTTTGAATGAGTCATTAGATAAAGTATTCAACTTAGTAGTTGAACACAATTCCAAAAACACATCCAAGTGCTTATAAGGATCCTCTGTTCCATACCCATGGAAGGTAGGAAGCATTTGGATCATAGCAGGCTTGATCTCAAAATGGGTTGCATCAGCATCTGGAAAAATAAAACACAAAGGGGAAGTATATGTGGTAGGAATGAAATGATCCCTCAATTGTGGTTGTGGTGGAAGAACAGGTGGAACCCGCTCTCCATTACCATTACCATTATTACCCGGTGCATTATGTTGTTTAGCCATACTTTCAGATGAACTATCAATATTATTCAAGTGTTTTTTAAGTTTCCTTAATTGACTTAAAGTTCTCTCTATTTCAGGATCATGCACTAAAGGTTTTGACCTAGTTTGACGAGTTAACATGCACTGGTTCCACTAATCCTAATAATACCAAAAAGAAAATACTCCAAGTAACAGAAAAACAATAAGAACTCACAAAAGGTTTAATAAACCAAAGCTTTTCTCCATTAAGCGTCTTTGTCCTCACCGCTAATTTGTACTTGAAAAGAAAAAGAAGTAAGATGAGATATCAGAAAGTCCGAAGACTGGTAAACCAAAATAACTAATTAAAAACTAAAACAAAAACTAATCTCCCCGACAGCGGCGCCAAAAATTGATGTGTCTATTTTTCTCTCACAATCATACGATATCGTGTAAGATATAGCTCTATGCAAAGAGGATGTCGAACCCACAGGGAAAGGAGATTTGTATTCTAGTTTTTAACTTCGTTTATGGTTTACAGGTAACTTGGTTGGAAAGTTTGTTGGTTGTCACGGTTTAACAAACTAGAATTAAAACAAAATATTAAATTATTAAACTAAATTAAATAATCAGAGAGAGAGAGTCTTAGGCCTTTGATTTCACCATAACCATTATATTATGGTTAATTATACTAACTCTGGGAATTTAACTATGATATTTTCCAAAAGAATTGAACTCAATAACATTCGTTCAATTCGGAGTTAAAGAAACATGTTTTACAAGATTAGCTAACTATAACCTATCTGCGGTTAGCGTGGACTATTCGCCTACCTACTTTACCTGCTTTAACTACTTTGCGAATGAACCACCTTTCCTAAGCGTAGATTATGAAAACTTTCTTTTTATAAAATACATTGGAATACCATTATATGACCTCTATTCTTGTGTCTGGCAAGGCTCCGCCAGATACCGTACAACAAGGTAGGTTGAGAATAGAAAACAGACTATTACATCTAAGACAAGGTAGTAATAGTTTCTAATCTATTAAAGCATGAAAAATTCACTTGAGTTGTCTCAAGTTCTCATAGTCATATAATTAAGAAAATATCATATATTAAAGTAAAACCCAGAGTTGAAACAATTAAACCATAATACAAAGTTGGGTTACATCAGTGCCCTAAGAAAGGATTTAGCTACTCATGACAAGGTTGGATATTATCGGTGTTGAGTTCATCTCCTTCGTCACGGACGGCACCTCTCTTCTCAGGATCTTCACTTCTAAGGTTGTAGAAACCCTAAAAGCCACCACACCTTCAACCTTCTGAATAATCACTGTAAAAGAGATTGAAATTTTAGACCCCTTCTATCAAGACTTACGCCTTCTTTTGTAGAAGAAAATATGTATTTGGTGGGCTTTTAGGTCTTCTAGCCCAATTGGGATGCGATACGGCTGGTAAAGAGAGTAATCCCGCAGTTTTTAGTCTAACATGTCATGCAATGCTCGAGCTTCAAGAATGGATGCTTGAGCTTTAGGGCTCATGCTCGAGCTTCAGGAACAAATGCTCGAGCTTCTCTAGATAGATGCTCGAGCATCAGTGAATGGTGCTCGATCATCACATTGACACTTAGCCAATTTTCTTCAATTATTTTCCGAAGCTTCTTTTTCTTCAACACTTAGAATATTTTTGGGGTTAAACTCCTTTAACATTGCTTGATCCAAGCTTCATGGGCTCGAGCACTAGGTACCATGCTCGAATATCAGGGGCCCATTGCTCGAGCATCAATGGATGATGCTCGATCCTCTATGGATACTGCTCGATCGTGGGGGTAATGCACGAGACCTGGAGCATAGCCTTTTCATTTAAAATCAACTCATTAATTTCTGACGCCTCAAGCTCGAGCACCTTTAGTTAAGGCTCGAGCACCCTTGCAGCAAGGCTCGAGCATCTTTACAGTAAGGCTCGAGCATCAAGGTACTAATGCTCGAGCATTTGGCCTTGTTGACTTTTCTTCTTTTCTTTGTTGTAATGCTTGAACCTCAACACTTGGGCTCGAGCTCTAAGGCTTCAATTGCTTCAAACTTCACCAATTTAGCTCTCGGCTTGCTCTGAATGACCGGCAATGACTCTGTAAGCTTTGATATCATCATAAAGTCCCGATTTTAACCATCTTTCTGGGAAAGTACCTACAAACATATATTAAACATAAATTAGTCTAACTATGGATAGAAGTATCACTTTAGGCCTTAACTTATACGTAATTAGGGGCTCGAATATGCATATATTCAGCGCTCATCAGGTGCTGCCTTCAAGTCTGTCAGCTGGATAGCATCCAACTTGTAATCAGTATCTTCCATAATCTTTAAAACATTGGTCGAAAATGAAGTACTAGCAGCAGCAACCTCTTCTAGCCGTAATTCGGCTAAATATGCTTTCAACGTGGCAAGGCAGCAGTTAACCGCCTGGCCAAGTATTCTATTTTCATTAGGTTTCTCTTCCATAAAAACTTTTGTTTGAAATGTAGTGCTGAACACCGGCCTTGGGTAGAATTATTGGCCTTGGTGTTTCTTGGAAAAGCTCCCTTACATCCTCTTCCATGAGAGTTCTCCTCATGGTAGCCTTCCTTAGATGGCCCTTGCTATCCTTTCTAATAAATCTGATTGGAATGAATTCTTCACTATATAACTCGGTATCTGCATAGTAGACCCTTGCCATAAATGACCGGCTATCAGCCTCCACCACTTTTACCTCATCTCCATCCCAAAATATTAGCATTTGATGGAGTGAGGATGGAATGGAAAATTTTTGGTGAATCCATTCGCGGCCCAAAAGCAAGTTATAGGCTGTTGTAGATTCAATAACAAAGAAGGCTATGATGGAAGTTCTATCTTCCACAGTTAATTCCAATGGTAGAATGCCTTGTGTCTTCACTATTCCTCCCATGAACCCACTAATGGATACATCAGTTGGAATGATGTCTACAGGCGACTTTCCAAGCATACACATAACACTAACTGGAACAACATTCAATACTGAACCATTATCCACCAGAACTCTTGCCAAGGGTCTCCCTTCCACCAGTACCTTTATATATAAAGGTTTGAGCTGCTGAGTCATACCATATGGTGGTTTTTCCAAAATGATCTTTTTTGGTTTCGTGGGGCTGTTTTCTTCAATCACAACTCCCTTTAATTTCTGAAAATACTCAGCTTCATCTTCGAAAACTTCTTCTATATGGATACCATTATTCGGTTCCATTATGATTCAAAACTAGACTATCCAGGGCTTTCCATGGGAGGACTTGTATCTACTACATCACCTTCCATTGAAGTTGGCTTATTTGGCTGTGGCTCAAAAAATAAGGGAAGAACCACTACCATATTGTAAGTAAATTCACTTGGAAGGCTCCTAAAAGTAGATTTTCTTACTGCTGCTAGAACTGTTGGCGATTTTCAAGTTTGTTCTATCTTTTGTAGGAGGGACGTCTGCAGTCAAAGAATTTCCTACTTCTAAAACCAAATCCAAGAAATTATCAAGATCTCTAACTCCTCCTTTAGTTGGAAGTTCAGATAAGTCTGATGGTTTAGCCATCTTCTTTGGCTAGTTGGACCAACCATGATCTTTTTTCCATAATTTCCTACTATCAGCCCTCTTCCTTTGCTGCCTTCGCTTTTGTGTACGGGTTATATAGGAATCATCATGAATAGGGAACTTGGGATGATCAAGCCTCTTCCAACTCTTATTTTGCGAGGTAGTAGGCTTAACTATTCTTGGTCAAAGACACTCATTCCCCCTTCTGACCCATACTTCCGAGGCCATTTTTGGCCTAGAATGCATGTTACCTTCAGAGCCGCTACCTTGCCAACTACTACTTTCATACTTTCTGTTAGGACGAGGCCTTGCCTGATAAGAAATTCTATTCCTTTCCAAACTCCTTGGAAGAAATTCTGATCTCCTTTCTGCTACCCTTCTTTCTGTATGGACCTGACTTTCCTTCTCTGGAATAGTTACAATAACTGTGTTTTCCACCTTTTGGAAAGTCAGCCGGTCATGGACCTTCCTTTTTTGGCCTCAGTCATCATCGAACAGCTTCTCATTTTACTTCTCCTTTGGAACATCTCTATAACAGCCTTCATTCTGAATTTTACACTTGGGGTAACAACCTTGCTGGATTAAAGCAATCTGAGCCTCTCGGAGTTGCCTTTCTAACTGAGCCACTATTCTCTCCATGGATGCTGTTGCCTTAGGAATTTCCAGCTTTCCACTGGCCGCTGGACATGTCAAGTCCACCTTCTTCTTAGGGTGTTCCGAGGCAAAGGAAGTAACATTTGTGGCAACGACCTTGGGAAAAGGATTTCCATCAACACCCATGACTTCTATTTTTTCTAGAAACTTCAACCTGCCATATTCAATTGCCTTCTGCACAATATTGCGGAAAATAACATAATTGTTAGTGGAATGCCTCCACGAATTGTGAAACTTGCAATAGTCTTTCTCGGTCATTTCAGATGTCGTGGCATCTTATGGCCTGCTGTGAATATTAGTTACTTGTCAACCATGAGCAAATAAAAAATTTACTCGGCTTTAGAGATGTCAAAAGAGTAACTTCTGGAAGGGTCTACGCCCTTCCACTTGGAACCAGAGGTGGCCTACAAGTTGGCCGTGGCTGATTTTGGTTTTGCTAAAGCCTCACAAGTATAGGCTTTCTTTATGTTGAGCTCGGCTACAATTACTTCCAACTCCCCATCAGTTTAGTGGTGTACATTTCACAATTAGGATCACGATAGTAGGTGCCCTTGGAAGAGCTCTTCCAGTCTTGCTCCTCATGAATGAGCTCTTCATACTTAGCCACTCTGCATGCCAAGTTAAATAAGTCATGAAATTGTACACCTTCAAACTTCTTACGAAGTTCAAATTCTAAGCCGTAGCCATCTTCACATATTTTTCTAGCAGTAAAGACAAATTACATTTATACTTGGCCCGCCTAAATCTGGAAAGGAAGCTCATCACCGATTCTCCAGGTAGTTAATGAAGTCTGGAAAGATCTGCTATGGACACTTCAGGCTCTGCTCTATAGAACTGAGTATGGAATGAATCCTCAAATTGTTGCAAACTTTGGATGGAGTTGGCTGGCAAGTTGGAATACCACCTGAAAACATATCCAGTCAGTATGTTTGGAAACAAACGTACTTTCAACCATGGATTGGCTGCGGCTTCTCCACATTGGATAATGAACTGACTGATATGTTCCAAGGTAGACTGTTCGCCCTCTCCATTGAACGTTACAAACTCTGGAATTTTGAAATTCCTTGAAAATTCAACTTCATCAATGAACTCTGGATAGGGCATTCTATAAGTTTCCTTCCATCCCTTCAAGTTAGGCCAAATTCATGTTAAAGGAATTCTGCAAATTGGCCTCTATCAAGCGCTATAGGCTGTGGAGGGTTGTTGTGTAATACCCCTAATTTTAAAAGGATAGTCTCGGTATTTATTTATTTGTTTTAATTGTATTTTTTAATTATTTAATTAATTATCTGACTAATTGCTTATGTGTTTAATTGAATTAGGTATTACTTGATTATTTGATTATGTGTCTATGTATTATTTGTATTTGTCTATGTGTTAATTGTTTAATTAGATTATGTGCTTAAATGGTGTTTTGATTAATTGTAAATTAAATATTTTCTTTTCTTTTATTATTTTATTTTATTTTTCTTTTATGGTTATGGTTAGTAGTAATGGGCCAACAAATTGGGTCACATGGACTACTTGGATAGGAGGTTGGATGTGTATGAATTATTACCCATGGATAATGTATGTGTATATATATATATATATTATATACATATATAAAAAGGAAATTAATTTATTAATTATTTTTATGATAACTTGGGTAGTAATATTTAATCTGACGTATATGTTTTATATTTAAATAATAAAAATATATATAGATTTGATACGTGTTATGTTTTAAGTTACTTTATAATATTATGGTAACTTAAGTATTATTGGATAATCCATTAATAAATAATGGAATGTATATAATTTATTTATTTAATAAACATATACATAAATTATATACGTAAGATATTTTACTTACCTTTTAATATATATATAAAAGAGAAATTAATTTATTAATTACTTTTATGGTAATTTGGGTAGTAATATTTAATCTGATGTATATGTTTATTTAAATAATAAAAATATACATAGATTTGATACGTGTTATGTTTTAAGTTACTTTATAATATTATGGTAACTTAAATATTATTGGATAATCCATTAATAAATAATGGAATGTGTATAATTTATTTTAATAAACATATACATAAATTATATACGTAACATATTTTACTTACCTTTTTAATATATATATAAAAGAGAAAGTAATTTATTAACTACTTTTATGGTAATTTGGGTAGTAATATTTAATCTGATGTATATGTTTATTTAAATAATAAAAATATACATAGATTTGATACGTGTTATGTTTTAAGTTACTTTATAATATTATGGCAACTTAAATATTATTGGATAATCCATTAATAAATAATGGAATGTGTATAATTTATTTATTTAATAAACATATACATAAATTATATACGTAACATATTTTGCTTACCTTTTTAATATTTTTATTTTCATTTTTTTTTTAGTTAACTTGGATTGGGAAAAGGGTTAGAGTTATTTTATTTAGCCTATAAATATATAGTTATAGGTTGTAAAAGGGGGTTAGAAATATTCACGTGATATATATACTGGAGAGATAATGTTAGAGAGAGAAGGAGGAAAAGGAAGGAATGAGGAGAAAAACCCTGCAGAGAGAATATTAAGGAAGAAGAAGTTTAACTTTCAATCCGAAATTTTAAGGCAAGTTCTTTTTCTATCTCTTTCCCTTTGATTCGTGTTTCTGTACATGCCTAGGAAATTCCAGGATTTATTAAACACATAAAATTAAATAATTATGCTTGTTTAATTGGGTTAGAATATAGGTTTTATGAAATTGGTTCATATCTGTTCTTGTATTATGAATTGATAAAATGCATGATTTTGATTTGATTTCTTATGTGAATTTTTACATGTTTAAATTATGAATTTTTCATATCTGTGGAATGATGGAACGTAGAAACATGCCTAGGATTCCTGAACATTAAACAGGGACTAGGTTTGGGTTTTAATAAATTTAAATAGACTAAATCATAATGATGCTTGCTATTTGAATGTTTTAAACAAACGAATGGATTTAATCTTTTAAAATATTTTAGCAATTGAGATTAAATGTGTAGGATGAATTGGATATAGAGAATCCTTATTTAACGGTATAATAAAATATCATCATGTATAAGATTCAGTTTGTGTAGGACATATGATATAGGAAGTTTAAAGAAATAATAAGTCATTCCTATTATGTGATAACTTGATATCATATTTATCATAGTTATTTATGGAATGTTTGATGTATTTCCTTAATTGTTACATCAATTGTTGGATTGTGTGGTTTAATGCACCAGTATGGGACGGTAGCATTCTAGGGATGGATTAACTTATCAATTAAGTCCTACCTATTTTATATAAGGGAATGGATTAACAAAAATGTTAAGTCATACTTATATTTAAGTCAGGTCAGCTGAACAAGTTGAATGACTTATGGAAGATTAATTTATTATATAAGGGAATGGATTAACTAAAATGTTAAGTCCTACTTATATTTAAGTCAGGTCAGCTGAACAAGTTGAATGACTTATGGAAGATTAATTTATACTGGATAGGATGGTAACTAGATTTTATATATATAAGTATGGTGCCATAATATGAGCTTGAGTCTCAGGATCAATGGTTAGGGCGCGTATATCACCAGGGATGTGTAGCTAGATATAGTGTAGTTGTGTACCCTGGTAGGTCTAGGTACTCATGCCCACTATATGTGCGTTTTGCATATTGCCTACTATTCAGGTTGAGACAACCCTATAGTCTAGTGAGGTTCCTTTAGTGTGTATATATATATATAAGGACTACTAGTTACTGTTGGATTGACTAGGATGTATACGTGTATCGGATCTCTGCTTGGACTGTAGTAGAGTAGAACTTGTTTGTGGGCCTGACCCACCATTATTTTTCAGGTGTTCGTCACGAGTAGAGGTTGTTCGTGCTGAGCGGAGATCAGTCTACTTCATTCTTCCGATGCTACATAGGAGTTCCTTTATGATTCAGTTTCCTATTTTAGATTACTGTCATTTGTTTAGTTTGGATTTTCTAGGGGTCCACACAGTATGGATTCCCGAGTTGTATTTTGGAGGATCAGTTGTATCAGAAGAGTTTATTAATTAATGGAAATATATTATGAGGTTTATTATTAGATTATCATTTTAGTTTCTTGTCAGCATTTTATTTATTCTTCTTTATTATTTTGTACTCTGTGTTTGTTTATTATCAATTTGTTTTGATATCCTCGAGTATTCGGGCGTGGGCCTGGCCAACCCGCATTTGGAAATTCGGAGGTATCACAGTTGGTGTCAGAGCACTCCAGGTTCAAGTGTCCTTAGGAGTGTCTTTCGTTATGTGACTTCCGCGTTGCGTCTCTTAAAACTTAGAGCCCATATTAGGATTCGTTGTACTTTATTTACGGTTTGTTAGACGGAGCTGATGTCAATTATATTCTGTAGTTATAGAATGGTTGGCACTAGAAAAAGGATGGGTTCAAGGCGAAAGCAATAAAGACCCAAAGGAGTAGAGGAGTATATTATCGATTTCGTTGCCAGAAGGCAGAGTTAAGGATTGACGGTTTAGGTTCGTTTGGCGTTACTTTAAAAGTATAAGCCAAGGAAGGATTTAGGTGTACGTGATAGGTCACCGCATATTGGGACCAACACGACTTCAGTTGATCTCAAAAAGGAGACAAGCAAGGAGTAGGAGCCGAAGAGGATCCTAATGGAGGAGATTTATGTGTATCCAATAGAGAGGGTACTAAATCTTGAAGAGGGATGATTGCACGAGGTGATCTGAATTACTAGTAGTATAGCGATTGTTATTAGTAGAATTGGGGTTGATCAATTTACAAATAATTAAATCTTTCTTATCATCTCTAAAAGAGGTATATAAGAAGTATTGTTAAGGAGTTTGGGGATCGGATGTGTTCTTATCAGAACGAAATACATTATTTTTAAATCACATACAAAAAGGCATTGGTATTATGTTATGACGTTCTAATTCGATTTATAAAGTCAAGTAAGACAGTTTACATTCCGCATATAAGGAGGATGAGGGTTAAGCCCTTGGTATTTGCTTAGAAAAACATTTGTGCTTTTAAGCGATGTTTTAAAGGATATGTTTCAAGGTTAAATGATTATTTACGAAACTATAAAAGGAAATTTTGAAACAATCTAGTAATGTTGATTTCAAAGGAGACTTTCTTTTCTAGAAAGAACGATGTCCTAAGTAGGATTATATTTTGTTCTATTGTGTTTATCATATGTGTTTTATTTTATTTTTTTGTTAATTACTCG